GAAACCTTCCTGCAAAGCTACCTGAAAGAAGACTGTGTGCAAGTGCTAGACAAAAGCAGATTTAAACGTAGTGTGGACGAAGTGTGGCTAACTTGCACCAAATGTTGATTTATTTTTTTAGAAAAATAAAATCTCTTTGTGGCATTATTTTTGAAAGAGTCCTCATTTTACTGCATTTTACCACAACAAAACTTTATACACTGCTGAGGTTTGCTGGTAGATTTGGTGAAGATGTTCCAGCAGTCCTTCTGGGTTTAGCCTGTCTGTTTAGTTTCTGATCCTTCATGCCTTTCCAGATGGTCTGGATGATGATGGTGAGATCAGATTTCCTGTCAGCCAATTTGTATAAATTATTAAAAAGATTATTAAAAATAAGTATGATGTTTTTAAGACTGACATTGATGTTAACAGAGCAGCAGCCAACTTATTCCAAACATTTTTTTGCTTTATTATTTGATCACAGTGTTATGTGTAATGTGGTGTTATTTTCATTTGTAATTGCATAATAATAATAAAATAAAATAAAATAAATAATAATGGGTTATTTTTGTTTCCAAAGACAGAAGTTAAACTATAATTTTTTATGTGATTTTTATAAACGTAGTAGTGTGAAATGAATGAATGTGTAATAATCGTGAGACCGTGATTATTCTTCAGATTAGCGCTGGACAATTCGACAAACTTAAATCACTATGTAGGTAGTGTAGGTTATTTAAATAATGCACTTTAGTTTATTAACCATTTCTAATGGTGTACTAATATTTTGCAGCCAGGCTAAGATGCCATTTCGTTCTCTCTGAGTATATAGTCAAATTTTTATTTGTCGTTTATTAAAGATTTAATTATTTAATGTTTCTTTCCATCTCGGCTGTGTGTGCTTTGTCATTTGCGATGCCAAGCAAAAGTAAGCTTAAATAAAAAGTAATTTAGTACCGCATACAATTAACAACAACTTTAGAAAGCTGCATCACGTATGTTTTAGGAGATTTAGAAACCCGGGCCAAAGGCATTTTGAAGTTCCAAAAAGGTGCGTCTCTGTGGGTCTGCAGAGCATGTGAGACTGTCTGTGGGACTGTTGACAGTTCTCGTGTACACTGAACAAGCAGTAGCCTATGAAATGGGTAAACAAGTTAAAGAAAAAAATGCTGGGCTATTTAATTAGTTTGTCATGGGGCGTTTATGAAAAGCATCCCGAATGAAGGGTCAGAGAGAATCACACCGAAAGCGTTGAGAGGTGCCCTTTTGAGTGATTTACTAATGGCCGCAAGTGTTTTGTGCTGCTTATGCTACTTGTGTGCCTTGCATTTTTACAACTTACTGCGCTTTGTGTTTTTGCTGTTGCGCGCTGTGTGCAGTTGAATAAAGTCAACTCTGATCGGAAAAAGCACATAAGTCGTGTCTTTTTCATTTGCCATTCAAATTAAAACACTCCGCCTGTGGGGTGTTTCCGTTGAAGTGCCTGCAGTGTTTTTTTTGTCAAGACAACTACAGAGACTTTTAAAGGCTGATTTATACTTCTGCGTCAAACGCCAGCATATGCTACGGGGCTGACGCATAGCCCTTCGCCGTGGCCGTCAGCGTTGCTGACGTGCACCTCTTAAAAAAATGTAACTATACGTTGCAACGACGCGTAGCGCAAGCTCTGTGATTGGTCGGCTTGGTAGCGCTGACGAGTCTGGGTGGGACCTATAGCCGCGTGAATGGTGCGAGCCTGATGGAGCGATTGTTTACAAGTGTGGAGTCCCGTGAAGGAGCTCCGGATGGAAAGTTTTGTTTTGTGTTTACCTCATAGTTAAAGTTGTTGCACGTCCGCCGGTTCCTGCCTCAAAATGAGCGAGTTTAAGCCACTTGTACATCCCGGAAGTGTTCAGGAAAAGCATAACATAAGCGAAGAAACTCGACAAAGAGGAACATTTACACCTCACTGCCAACTAGCGTTTCAGAAGTGTTAATGCAGACCAACAGAGACCAACGCGCAGAAGTATAAATGCACAGCCAAGCGCGTCGCATGTGCCGTGGGTTACGCCGGTCACCTGACGCAGAAGTATAAACCAGGCTTAAGGATTGAGGAGAGACTGGTGGTTACTGTTTTAAGTTATCCAGAGCTGTATGACTTGCAAATCTTGCATTTCACAATATTATCAAACATTAAAATTAAACTAATATTAACAGCAACACATGCGTACAAAACGCAGCCGATTCAGTTGTTCCCTAGTGACATAAAAATGGCAAAATGCCTTGCGGAAAAGTACGTCCAGTGTGATCGGCTCCTAAGATTGCGGTCATTAAAATGGTGATAAAGTATTACTGTAATAATGAGTGTTTTTTGCAATGCCACAAAGTAAACAATAGAGCGAAATATGAAATAATAGCCTTTATATTAAATTCTTATGATATATATCATCATTGCACAGCCATATCTTTAACTGCAAAAATAAAATCTGTAAAGTTTACAGTAAAAAACTGGTAGCTGTCGTTGCCATAATTGTACTATTAAAATATTGAAGAATACATGAGGTATTTTAATTTATGATAAACTACTGTATTTCATTTATTTCACAGTGTTAATACACTAATGTTTTTTGAAGTACCAACATATGAGCCAATGCTCATCAAAAATATTATATCATTCATTATGTAATATTAATATTGTTACAAACGCAAGCAGAGAAACTAGTGTTTTAGAAAGCACTCAGTGTCAAGACCATCATGCACCCAACACTAATGCAATAAGCATTATTTGTCAACATTAGATGTAACATAAAACTATAATGTACATCACTGATGTGGAAAAAAGCTGAAAAACACCAGACAAAAAGTTGAAAAAAAAAAACATACACTACATGTCAAGCACGAAATTTAGGAAAAGTCAGTTTACAGCTTTTCACAGTATTAACAAAACGTACAGTTAACCAGGTAATATAATTTTACTGTTGTATTTTTGCAGTTAAAATCACTGCCATTTATTTTTTCTACAGTACTTCACAGTCGTGCCAACAAAACCTATAATCATTGCATCCCCATTTTGCACAGTGCTCTATATTAGCATATATTTCTATCATTCTCTTGATATATCTTCGCCAATATGTGTGTAATCTTCTGAAATGACTGTTTACATCCTATAGAAGCTCTTAAGCTCCTGAGGAACCTTGAATCATAAAATTCCCATCTCATTATTGAACGCCTTGAGCCACAGGCCTCTCTATGGCAACTTCTGCACTTTCGCAGAGGGATTTGGTGGAGTTAGATTACCCGGCAGTTCAGTGCAGGTGAGGGATTATTGGGCGACATCTCAGGATCCTTTCACGTCTGTGAAGGTTAAAGCTGAGAGCTGAATCAATAGAATCCCCATGATAACATAACTTTTCTTATTAGCCCCAGTAGCAGCAAATGTCATGATGCTCCAGAGAGAGTAGCGCAGCTAATAACGAGAAGATCTGAAAATACATCATCTCTATGACCTTGTTTTTTTTTAAATTACTATTATTATTTTTTCTTGAGGATGTACCTTGGGAGATGTGAACAATCATCAACATTCATCAATACAATAACCATTGTATGCACAGCATTTAAGTGTAAACCCTAAAGTTGACTATGTATTTTTTAAAAGAAACCTTAAAATAAAAGTAAAAACCATTCTTTTTGTTTTATTATGTGAATTAATGCACCACAACATTATCGAATATCTATTTCAACATTTTGTAAACATTAAAGACTTGATGCAAAATGCAAAAATAGTCAGTATAATTGTCCAAAAATGATGCCCATTTAAAATATTTGGTAATTCATTGCAATAAGGTTGTACTAATTTACTAACATGAACAAATCTTGAACAAAATATTTATTACAGTATAGGCATGGGCCGGTATAAGATTCTGACGGTTGGATATAAATATCACGGTTTCACAGTATTACTATATAGGGTGTATGCTATTGTTTCTTCCCATACTTTTAAACCTCCGGCGAACGGTTAAAGTGACTTTTTTTCCATTTTAAACGGTTCCTTTTACAGCATCGATGTTGTAATGTAATTAAAATATAATCAGTTTAATAGACTTTGGCATTTATTTAAAACAAGATGAAAAGCCTTTTACTCGCACGCGCCTGCCAGGATCGGCAGGCTAGCAAAGAAGCTCTATTGAAAAACTGGAGTAAAATAAATGTTCATATTTTAAAGACATGATGGGGAAAATGTAATTTAATGCTGTTCTTGTATAATCTGAGGCCCACTTTATATTGGATATCACTCAGCCAGTGGAGATCTCTTAGTTTTAAAGAAAACAGACTTTAAACGCACCGATTTTGCAGTAGTATAAAGTTCATCGAAAACGCTTAACCCAGGTCACTGTCAAATTAAAAGTCCTTTAGCATACTTCGGCATATACCCTATTATGATCACTGCTCTAAATATATTCTTCTTAAATGTCTGAGAAAAAAACAAAACCTTTTCCCCATTGTACACAATATATTTTGTGTACAGAGGAGGATTTATGTCTCTCGGCTGACCTGGGAGCACCTAGGGATCCCCCCGGAGGAGCTGGAGGGAGCGTCTGGGAAGAGTGAAGTCTGGGGTTCATTTTTAAGACTGCTGCCCCTGCAACCTGGCCCGGAAAAGCAGATGTGAATGAATGAATGAATGAATGAAGGTAGTTTCTTGCTTCAGCAAGAAACAGTGAATGCGAAGGTTCTGGAAAATAAATTTGTGATATACTGTGATTCACTGTGATTTGTTACTCTCTTACTGACTGGACATCACACTTCTGGTTAGGATGTAGACATGTAAGAGCAAGTGGATGTAGGAGGTTACAGGGCTCATGGCTGTTCGCCTTAAGAATCAATTTAATTTTAGCTGACACTTTACCTCTATTAATGTGCACAAAGTACATTTGAACCACCGTTTGCAATCTTGTTCCCATACAGATATCATGTTAGAGTTGAGTGTCCACATTGTCAACTGATTTTTTTTTTTTTTTTTTTTTTTGCTTTTCTTGTACTTACAGCAGTGCCACTGCCTCCTCACCAGCGACTGACAATAAAAGACCTATATGTGGACGGCAAGCCCAATACTGAGCTGCTGAAGAACCATTTGATCAAAGAGGGACGTGTGGAGGAGGATGCTGCGCTGCGCATCATAAACGACGGTGCCAACATCCTACGGCAGGAGAAGTGCATGTTAGAGGTGGAGGCACCAATTACTGGTAAGAAAGCAAGAGCACATCTTTAGTAGAGCTCAAGGGAGATGACATCTGTCTTTATTAGAAGGAACTTTTGCGTTTGTTCTGCTCTGCCCTGGACCTAGTTCCTGAAGTAAAAAAAAAAATAACTGAAGAAGGAGCTTTTCCTCATGGAAACTTCATGCAACGTTTCAAATACTCATTATTATAGTTCACTGGCACAAGAGTGTGCTCCTTCAGCCAACAATAAAATAATAAATCGTAAAGCGATTGGTTTGGTTGATAAGTAACTTTTCAAGGAGGCCTTATGCTCCATCTGTAAAAACAGTTTCATCAGGCAAACGCTGGCATTTCTTTTCAGTTCTTTGCTGAGATTACCTAATTCAGTGTTACAAACTGTCACTCTGGAGATTCAGCTCGTGGCAAGTGACTCATATGGAGATCGGTGTCAGCACCGCTGGTTTTACTGACAGATACTGTCTGCGGATCAGTGGAGTGCAACACAGGAAACAGTCTTCGATTCTGACGCGGAATGTGGTCTGTAACGCTTCCCTGGACATTAGAAGGGATGTGCAAAAACTAATTAGCTAAACCCAGAGTTTCCTGAATGAAAAGTTGACTAATTGCACTACAGAAAAACTTCAATAAGTGCAGTTTAAAGTGCAAATGAGCCTGACTGGATAATAGCAGCATTCATACTGCAATTGAGTACACTTAACTTATAGGGGAATTTTATATAGGGTTATATTTTAATGATATCGTTTGAGTTTGCTAATATAGCATATATTTGATTGTGCATGGCCATTTTGCTGTTTGCATGTTACCTTGGTAATCAGCTGATGTTAATCTTTAAAAACAGACAGTTATTATTTATAATAAGCTGTTAAGGTAATCATTACTAAATATACAACATTTATACATGTTTTACTTTGTACGTTATATTGCTTTATAATACAGGGCTGTTGAATACTTGATTCTGAACAGCATGGTTTTGATCACTACTGTTATAGATCACTATGCTGAACGATATTAGTTATTTCACAGCCTACACATGTCAATAATCTAATCGCAACAAAACACAAGGCTTTGGATGAGATGTGTAATAATCACACGAGAGCTGTTTGAGGACGAAAACCTGATAAATGTCTGAATAGTGTGTGGTAACCATAGTTTAAGATAAATAGTTGGCTCTAGTTCGTTGAAATGTTGGAAAAAAATACACACAGCTGATGTGTAAAGGCATCATACCTCAGGTGCACATTATTTTTTGTATAATTCAAATGTCCGTTAATTATTCTGTATGTAATGCCTTAAATCCTTTGAAATGATTTAAAAGAAAACAGTTGATCAATATAGGTGCATTAGTGCTAGGCTATTGTTTGAGTAATTGAATTTTAAAATAAGGTCTTTATTGTAGTGTTTAAGCCATAAACCAAACTAACCAGCTAGAAGGTGAAATGCAACTTTACAAACTTTGATATGTAGCAAAAAAATATATGAATTCTGAACAAAGGTACTTATTATAAGGCTTTAATAAGAAAAAAGCTCACAACAAGCATGTCTTTAAAAATTTTTAAGTTGCATGTTTTTTTTTTTTTTAAATACATAATTTATTTGAAAAACTAAATTCAAACTGAATTTATTTTCTAGAACCCAACTGTTTCTCATTTCTAGACATAACATCACAATAATACATATAGTTATTCTATGTCCTATATTTTTAATTAGGGCTGTCAAAATTAATTGTTTCTTCGATGCACTGCGATGAAGAAGTGGACAATTCGGTATCGGTTCATTAATAGATCATAGCTGATTATTACAAACTGATGTCATTTATCTTATATGCACTGTCACTGTAGAATACTATTCGAGCGAGGCAAGGACAAGTAATTAAAATGCTCCAACTACTTAAAAAGCAGATAACTGTGTTTCACTCACATTGAAGTATAGCAGAACCAGGAGACATTATTTCACTTTCTCCACGGCGTCTATCATAAATCAGCTGTGATAGCAGCGCAATGTGTGCTTTATTACACGCATACAGACTGTTACTGAGCATTTTTCATGGTCTGCGTCACTCATTGGTGAACAGCACGGACAGTTGTAGAACTAATCACAGCCTTTTCTGTTGAACGTGTGAACACAATGACCAATCATTGGGATGTAAGAACACACTCGACTATGCTCAAAATGCAAGCTGAGTAATATTTACATTAGTTGATTTGCTTTAAATGCTCATGTTGTCTTCTGTGATTGTATTTGAGTTTTGCTTAAACAATTCAAAAAGAGCGTTTTCTTTGAGCAGGTTAAATTAAAAATGCAGTTCATATATCCAACTGCTTGTATTGAAGGATAAAAATGTATTAAAAATAATAAATACATTTATAAAATTAAGGTCAAGAATTGTAATGCATTGAAATAAAATAAAAAAAAAATATGTATGGAAAGCAGCGTCATTGCACCGTGATGCACCGAGATATCGAATTGAACCGAATCGAAGACATGATAATCGCAACCAAACCATAGTAGTTTTAATATTGGTCAATATCTAATACTCTGTAAAAAATGCAGTGTTAAACACTATTCATTCATGTTGCACCAACACAAATCATTTATGTCAGGGGTGTCCAAACTCGGTCCTGGAGGGCTGGTGTCCTGCTGAGTTTAGCTCCAACTTGCTTCAGCACACCTGCCAGGAAGTGTCTAGTATAACTATAAGAGCTTGATTAGCTGGTTCAGGTGTATTTGGTTGGGGCTAAACTCTCCAGGACACCGGCCCTCCAGGACCGAGTTTGGACACCTCTGATTTAGGTTAACTTAGCACTTTAAATAGATTGAACATAAAACAATTAAGTTTTAAGATTTGTTTCAGTTGATTTTAAATAGATAGCTCGAACAAGTATCAAAAATATATATTTTTTGAGTATATAAATGTTGTCTTGATTAGTTTAAACCTTTTTAAAAAGATTGTTTTCACTGTATACAGAGATTTTTTACAAGTACACTCATTAGAATCAATAAAAATATAACAATAAGGAAAATCACTAAATGGCTGGGAGTCAAGCGTTGACAACCATCACTAATCGCTCTGTCTATATATAAAAAAGGCATGCTAAGAAATTAGTCACAGGCATTTACTTCTGTTATCTGTCAGATAGAAGAGAGTGACAGATAATGATAGATGGAAATGTGCCGATTATATGGGAGAATCACAATCTGTAGCGCATCTGGGTAATAAAATCCTCTGGGCCTTATCTGTGACAAACAGCCTGTGAAACTTACTCAATTATTTGATGAACATGTTGTGCTTCAAGGTTTAATTCCTGCCGAGGTTTGTGTGGAACAATTTATGATGCAGATGAATTAGAGCTTGTCTGTCCTCTATAGATATTGCTGCTTTTGAGCACGAATTAATAGATGTCACAAACCCCTCTGGCTTTAGATACATTCTGCTTTATAAATGGATCCAGCCTCTGTATTTTCAAATATAGTGTCGTTGTTGCTAAGTGACAGAGCGGTCTTGTACATGTGGCCGCTGCTGGCTAGATGATGCAGGTAGGATGGCTGTAAGTGTTTGAAGCGTTTGGTCTCATTCCAGTCCCACACTTGCCTAAGGCATTTCATAAAATGTGATACAGGAAATCTTGTACAGTTTTGTTTGTGCTCAACATTGACTTTTGATCCAAAATGATGAAGCCTTTATGTATCACACTGAAAACGACCTAACATGCTAATCATTCTGTTTTGCTTGTCTTTCACCTGTAGTGTGTGGTGACGTTCATGGGCAGTTTTTTGACCTCATGAAGCTCTTCGAAGTTGGTGGTTCTCCTGACAACACGCGCTATCTCTTTCTGGGCGATTATGTAGACAGGGGATACTTCAGTATTGAGGTGAGTAAGAGGTTTTTTTCTTTAGATATTCTGTTAACTAAGTTACTTTGTAATTACATGTCAGCTAACTCTTGGTAGAGTGTTAGTGTGCTGCCTTCTAATATCTGTCAACTGCTTTTTTTTCATAGACTCCTAATAGTTATTATTTTAATCGTATTGACTTTGACTATGCGGTAGTAAAGCTTGTTTTTTTTTTTTTTTTGATTGTTCTAGAACTTCTGATTTAGTTGCCTATGGGAGAAATGACTACAAATGATAAATGGCAGAAAATGGACAAACTAGTTGATTTTAATGAGACCAGAAGTCTCGAGCCAAAGAGATTCCAATGGCTGTACCTACTTGTACGTTAATGCCCCATTCACATGGGGCGTCAGCGTCGACGCTTCCCATCATCTTTGATTAGGTGACATCATACGTTGCCGAACTGAACTGTGGGTCTGTTGTGGCTGCTCCAGCGGAGTTGCTCATTGCAGAAGTTGTGAATTTCTCAACTTTCCAAGCATCAACATAAACGTTAGCCAATTAGATCGCTTTATATAAATTCCCCAACTCAGACAGTAGCCGATTCTGCACTTTTATTGGCTGACGCTGCTATGATGATTGCATCAGCCCCAAATTTAGACACACTCTCTGTCGAGTGTTGATACTGAAGCCCTGTTTGAATCTTGCATTTTAATGGGTGATGTCAACTTTAAGCGCAAACGGAAGTGTCAGCCAATCAGATCATTTTATGCAAATTCCCCAGCTCAGACAGTAGCCAATAGCAGACTTTGCGCAATGTTGATGCTGAAGCCTTGTGTGAATCAGCCTTAAGAATAATGTCAATAGGTAAAGTGTAGGGGTGTAACGAATCACGGTTGATACATGTGACCTACGAATAATTTTTTTTTTTTTTATGTAAGTTGCACGATTAATCATTAAAAGATCAGGATCTCAACACCCACGCAACCTAAATTATATATGATAGTGATTTGCAGATGTTTATGAATCCTTCGAATCACTGCATTTAAATCTGTGTTTGAAAAACAACAATCAAGAAAGAGATTCAGTCTTTAGTCTTTTGAGTTAGATATGAAGTTACAAACAGTCCAATAACACAGAGGTACTGGGATAACAGTTTAAAGTTTAGATTAAACCACAGATGTTTATGGTAGAGATTAAAAACACTTTCATATACATTTAACTTGACGCTCAGAAATGAAAGTAGTTGGCAGAAATCATATTTTTTTAACCAATAGGTTGTTAAATGTGACCCAGCCATCAAAATATGCCACTGAATAATTCTTCAAAAATGATGCATCTGGCAATGAAACATGAAGTTTTATGAGTGAATAACTAAATCATTTATTGAAAATAAGACTAAATATACATTTAAATATACATTTTATTCTAAATATACACTTTATACATTTAGTTTTATCAGCATCAGTAGTAGTAACAGTGAAATTTTCACAGTACTGAATATTGTATTTACAATGTATTTTTATTCAGCAGATTTTTCATTTTATTTTTAATAAAATTACAGGTTCTCAGTTCTGTTTGGTAAAACCAAAAGTTACTTGCTGTAACTTTTTATAATAAATAAAAAGCAAATTACATTTGTCTTTTCCCCATTTGGCTGATTTGAAAAATAATTTGATCTGTGATCCGTCACACCATTATTTTACTAGTGCATTTCAGCTTATTTTACTAACCGTAACTCACTAGTCTACAAATACTATTAAGAGTATTTTAGACTAGTTTGTGTTATGCTGTTGCTCACCATTAAGGGAAGTGTACTCTGATCGATTTAACACATTTTCTTTCTCTAATATAACAGTTAAAAGTTTGGGGTCAGTAAGATTTCCTTTTATTTCTGCCAAATATGCATTTATTTGATCAAGATTGAAATAACCCAAATGTTTAAAACAATAAAACCCAACATTAAAATGCCTTTTTTCTATTTTGACACATTTTAGAATGCAATTTATTGCTGTGATGCAAAGCTAAATTTTTTACAGTCATAACTTTAATCTTTGATGTCAGATGTTACTTCATAGGTCGCACTAATATGCTGATTTGATTAGGGGGAAGTGCAAAAGTTAGCAATGATCTGCTAACACTTGTTACTGAAAAAAAACCATGAAGATTAAATTTAAATGAACGCATGCTGCTTTATTTAATGTTAATGTCCAATACATTCAAACTCAAATCTAATCAAATCCTCAACTAATGCTAACTAATGGGACTTTGAGTGGTTCTGTCATTTTTTTCTCGTAGCTTTTGATTGATGTAATGTTTCTTTTGTTAAATTAAAGTGTTCTTTTTTTGTTTTAAATCTCTTATGTCCACAAACTGTCGAACAGCAGTGTGTCAGTGCAGACGAAAATAAGTGCAGCTTCCATCTAGGCCTTCCATACTGAGCTATATCTTAACTCGGGTTGTATCTTAATCCTAAAACCAGTGTTTTTGCCTGTTAGTCGGAGTGTTTAGGGATCTGCACATGTATCAGTAGGGAACTGTATGCGTGTGCATGGCTGGGCTCATTCTTACTTGGCTGAAAATCTGACATCTTCTCTGAACCATCTGTTAAAGAATTACCAGTGGCTACATAACCAGCAGCACATTAAATACCACACATAAGCACAAAAGAGAAGCAAAGCAGATTACACTATAATATCTCCACTAAACATTTCTTGCATTTGGTCTTGGAGCTTCCTGACATCAGACAATCTGTTGTCATTTACATGGGTATAGATTGCTGGAGTCATGACGTCAAAGCACGGAAGGGTAGTTCACTACTTGTTTCTGAAGGATTGATTTTCCTGTAGTTTATTTTTGGAATTTTCTTCTTCATTATTTTGTAGTTTTTAAATATTTTGAATAGTTTTCAGATCATAGAGATGGATGCTCCAAAATCAGGGTTTTTATAGCCGATGCAAGCTTTATACTGTAAGTGCTGAGGAGGCTTTGTGGTGATGTTATTTTTAGCAATGTTTTGTTTTGTTGTTTTTTCTGGAAATCAAATTAATTAGCATAACACTTTTTTTTTTTACAATGAACATGTTGTAAGGTTAAACAGAGCATAACAAAGTGCTTTGCTTATTAAAGAATCACGAAAATACATTTTCTGTCAGCATTTCAGTTTCCTTTATTTTGTCATCCAAAACATCACAGTAGATGTAATGCAGAACGAAATTACCTTACATCAACAGCCAGCAAGAACATAGAAAACATCAGAAAACACTTTAAAAACCTGACATAATAAATAAGCTTTTGTAATTTCATAAACAAACAATATAGTTATATAAATTATAAGCTAATGTTCAATAGTTTACACTTAGCTGATGATTGATTACAAAGCGAGTTGGGGCATGCATCCCTCCCGTTTGCAGGGCGAGAAGGCAGTTTGAGCTCAGGTGGGTCTCGAGAATAACATTATAATTTGCTATTTTGAGATATACTGCTGGTTAAAAGGTCAACTATAGTGTTAATTTAGATTGATCAATTCAGTTATGACTAGGGCTGCACGATTCATGCTAAAATAAGAATCACAATTTTCTTTAAAGTGATGGATTACAACTATTCATAATTCTGATGTTGAATTATTATGTTTGAGACATGCTTACAGTCTGTCATTGACAACATTATTAGACAAATTTTCACTGGTAAAATGAGGCATTTGTCATTATCAGAAAATCTCCTGCATTATATTTAACATTATAGAGGCTAGAGTAGTTATACTGACCCAGAAGTCATTTATTTTCATGCACAACACTTGGTATTCACTATAAAAGAAAAACAAATCAAATGCTTGTCATAATCATAACTATAAAAAGCGATATGGTCACTTAAATGATTTGCGTGCCAGTTTCACTTTTACTTTCGAGTGTGACTCATGGCTGCCGTCACTGTGAGGAAAAAAAAACACGCATGCAAATCACACGGTAGTAAACAAACAGCTTGCGGTCAGCTCACTTGTGATTTTTGCGGCCGCAAAATAAATCAAGACTGAAATGATTTTTGGGGGAATTATACCTTATGAATAGTGTTTGTGACATTTTTAATGACATTTGGATGCGTCCATTTTGCTTGACCTTGAAAATATAATTGGTTGAATCGAAGTAAAGCTGAATTAAGATTGCGTGTAGGGTGGAATCGAGATCGCAATCTTTTTTTCAATTTATTGTGCAGCCCTAGTTATGCCGCATGTTTTTAGACTGTGGGAGGAAACTAGAGAACCCAGGGGAAACCCATGCAAGCATCGGAAAAACATGTAAATTCGCACACTTGACAACTGGCCTGTTAATGATTTGAACCAGTGACGTTCTTGCTGTGAGGCATCAGTGCTAACAACTGGGCCACCGTGCTGTCCTATAAAGGGAAAGGTGGAGGAGTAGGGGTGAAAGGGGGGAATCTTCAGGGCGAAGATAACTGTAGTAAGAAACTCTGCGTTAGTTAATGCTGGATTAGCTGTACTCAATCATAATCACATGCTCCTCTCGAAATTAGCTTATAAATAAACTTCACTAAAAACACAAAATGGAAAAAATAAATACTTATTACACTTTAACAATGGTCATTTCAACAGTAGTGTTGCATATTCACATAATTTTAATTTTAATAGAAAATTTGTGTAGAACCTTTCATATGTGTTTTGTGTGATCCTTTTATACTGTGAAGGTGGAGGATCACAGGATGTGTGCTGGCAAATAGTGACCGGTTATCGATGGCAACACATCAGTGTTGTTTATCTTTTTAGAAGATGCTTCACTTAATTATTAATGACAGGCTGCGTTGCATTGTTTCATGACCCTTTAAAAAGCCTACAAGGCAGTGTCAAACTGAACAAAACTGCTACCCGTGAGATGTAATTATTCAATGTGAACTCAATATGTGACTGACAGCAAAAACAAACACAAATGTTTTCATTTGTCGGTTTTTGTGTTTGGACAAACATCAGCAGAAGGAAAACATTTCAATCTATGCTCAAGTTTTGCTAAATCTCTGGTTATTGTTAC